GACGCCGAGCGAATGCCGAAGTGATGACGTAGTCAACTACCGCGACGCGCGGCACGCTCCCCCACTTTATACTTCCGACGATATTCGCCTCGAAAGAAAAATACCGTTTTTTTCAAAGAGATGTTTAACCCCTTAAATATAAGTTAGGGCACGTATAAAAAAATACGTCTCTTAGGCCGGTATTCATAGTCGGTTCTTATTTTAAGACCGTCTTAAGTAATGTCTTAAGTCGCTAATGCGGCCTTCTGATTGGTTCATGACATCTTGAGACTGTACTTAAGACGGTCTTAAATATAAGATCCGACTATGAATACCGACCTTAGATACACGTCCACATTTGACGATACGATTTTATCGGCGAGACGGGGAGATCTCGAAAATGGATGTGGTACGTAGTTCCCGCAGCTCGAAAATGGATGTTGGTGTCGCTAGTGTACGGAAATTAGAAGCATTACAGGAAAAAGGCCGGGATGCCCGCTCTCAAGTTTCTTTCTGGTTGCACCAGCAAGTATTAAAATCTACTGTACCGCTAGATGGCAGTTTGATTATCATTCAAGACGGCCGGCTCTTTTCCCTCGCTGCTGCGTGCAGCGCCACGAATCGTCACCTGACTGCGTGTTTTTCTTTCCTTCGTTGTGCATGGTTGTGCAATACAAGAGGTTCGCGTGTTACATGAGGGAAATTCAAAACAAAGACAAGTACTTCCACGTGAGAGAGTCGAATAATTGCCAATAGTTGCATTCGCAGTGTGTGTCGTCAGACAGGTGGGGACCGAACGATCGATCAACTGCTGATTCATCTAGTTTTCATCGGCGTCTCTCGCGTCTAATTGGCCCAACATCTAACTACAACCTCTGCGACAAACTAATGGAATACTGCGCAGATAGATTAATAGATAGGTAAACAAATACGACGTTAATCCGACCATGGATCTACCAGAAACTGACAACGCCGAAGATGACTCTGACGAATTATTCTCAGGTAATGATCGCGTGTCCCTCAAATTACGGCAGTAATGGCATTCTTTCTTTCTGGACAAATTTTTAGATGACGAACAAAAGGAGATTAGTCATAGATCCAACGTCTGCGAGGATACCTCAGTTTTAAGTCGGTCTGAGACACCTTTGTCGTTACTTGGTTACAGTCCTAGCACGATGTAAGATATATTTTTATTTTGTTGCCTTATGCTGATTCTACAATGAGTCGATAGTCCGAAGTCTGAGGCCGGTATTCATAGTCGGTTCTTTTTTTAAGACCGGCTTAAGTAATGTCTTAAGTCGCCAATGCGGCCTTCTGATTGGTTCATGACATCTTAAGACTGTACTTAAGATGGTCTTAAATATAAGATCCGACTATGAATACCGGCCTTAGTCTTTATCGGTGAAGTTGGCCAATCAACCTTAGTTGTACAAGTTGGCTGTTGATAAACTTCACTGATGAAACTTAGGACTAGCGATTACCGACTCATTATAGAACCAGGGTTAAAGTTTTGTTATGACAGAGATTAGTGTTTAATATAGTAATGATAAAGCAAGAATAAATCTGTTGCGAATAAGTAAAGTCATTGAATTATATTGTCTATTGATAATACTTCTGACAAACGAGATGTTTGCAAGAACAAATTTGTCGCAATAAGTAAAGTCATCGAATAATGTCTATCAATAATACTTCTGATTTGATAGTTCCAATATGACATATTTTTATTTTGAACTTTTGATACGACGCGGAGATTAGCATCTAATATAGTAATGATAATGCAAGAACAAATTTGTTGTGAACGAGTAAAGTGATTGAATTATGTTGTCTGTCGATAATACTTTTGATGAACAAGTTGTTAACGAAAACAAATTTATTGCAATAAATAAAGTCATTGAATAATGTTGTCTATCAATAATACTTTCGGTTATATAATCTCAATATGACACATTTTTATTTTGTTACTTTAAAATTTTATTATGACAGAGATTAGCATACAATGTACAGTAATGAAAATGCAAGAACAAATCTATTGTAAATGAGTAGAGTTATTGAATTATATTGTTTATCAATAATATTTCTGATAAACAAGTTATTTTAATATCCATTATTGGTTACTTGTGAAATTGTTAATGACAGAATGCCAACTGATGCTGTAATTCCATCTACACCGTTGAGTCTGTTGCCATTTTTAAATAAAATAAATGAACAGTGGAGTAGTGACTTAGAGACCCCACAAGCTCAGCCTCATACGATATCAATCATTAGCACAACAGTTAGTAATACATTTTTTTAAATAAACTTTGTTACCCTTATTGTACTTACAGAGATTTACTTTAATACTCTGAAAGATAGTAATCAACTATTTATTTTGAGTATTAAAAATACTATTGTTCATTACTTCTAATACTCAAAATAAGTAATTAATGATGGCATTCAGCAGAGAAAGCTGTTTTGCAACTGTCCTAAAGTTCTATGATCAGTCTTACCCTTAGTTCTACTTATCCTCACTTGCACATTAGACCTAAATGTATATATACATCATTTTAAAGAATCCTGCTTTTTCTGTTGAATGCCACAATTTATTACTTTTCATTATTTAATTGACCAGAATTCAATTTCTGTATGATTACTGTCGAAATGACGGTTGTAAAACGTCCCGTTTATCATTAATATTTCAGACAGAAGAAATACCTAGAAGTGAACAACGTACACCCGACGTTTCAAGTGTTAAAAGCGTAGAAAAAATTATTTCTGATTCTCCTGTTATTGCCTCTAGAGCGTCGCGGAGACGTTCAAAGCGTCGTATATTTAGATCTTCTATATCTATAGACCCATTGGCTGTAACTGACAATGAAGATATTACTGCAAATGTACAAGTAGAAACACCTGTTATTTCTGACGTTGTTAATTCTGTAGCACAAGATGACACTACAAATGCAATATCCACTTCGTCTCTTGAGACTGTTCTTAAAGATGACGAGCCAAAAGTTGTCAGTAAAAGTCAAGACACATGTAATAATGAGGAATCAAAAAATGTTACAAACGATGTACCTGATAGTTTAAACACATCCACGCTAGAGTTCTTTAGCAATGTCTCATTTAGTAAGATAGATGAGTTATGTTTGGACACTTTTAATAATCAAAAAACAATGGAAACTACTGTCACACAATGTAACTACAAACAGAACGTCGACAAGGGAAGGAATATTGAGAATGAAAATATAGGTTTTGTTACTGCTCGTGGTACTTCAATTAATGTATCAAAGGAAGCGTTGTTTAAAGCGAAGAGACTGTTCGCAGATATAGATGAATCCGCCTTTGATATGGATGAAATGCAGACGCAGAATTATGAACCACCCGCTAAAAGAAATAAATCTAATGAAGAGAAAGATAGGCATTTACCATCCTCTTCATTCGTTAATAACGTTTCCGTCAACATTGCGGAAGAAACATTACCCAAATTGAAACCGCTTATAAAACAATTGAAAAATTATGACAATGTGCACACTGCTGATTGTAAAAAACCACTTGTAAGTAAAAGTTCTAGTGAAGAAGTCATTGAAGCTCCTATTTTTTTATCAACTGCTAGTGGCAAACCTATTAACATATCAAAAAAAGCGTTGTTAAAAGCAAAAGCGTTATTAGCAGATGATTTACCATCCTCTTCATTCGTTAATAACGTTTCCGTCAACATTGCGAAAGAAGTATTACCCAAACCGAAACCGCTTATAGAACAATTGAAAAATTATGACAATGTGCACACTGCTGATCGTAAAAAACCACTTGTAAGTAAAAGTTCTAGTGAAGAAGTCATTGAAGCTCCTATTTTTTTATCAACTGCTAGTGGCAAACCTATTAACATATCAAAGAAAACGTTGTTAAAAGAAAAAGCGTTATTAGCAGATTTACCATCCTCTTCATTCGTTAATAATGTTTCCGTGAACATTGCAAAAGAAGTATTACCCAAACCGAAACCGTTTATAGAACAATTGAAAAATTATGACAATGTGCACACTGCTGATTGTAAAAAACCACTTGTAAGTAAAAGTTCTAGTGAAGAAGTTATTGAAGCTCCTACTTTTTTATCAACTGCTAGTGGCAATCCTATTAACATATCAAAGAAAGCGTTGTTAAAAACAAAAACGTTATTAGCAGATGAATCACACAATATTGATGACAATGAATTAGTAAAATATTATGAGAGATCTACCGATAAAAAATCTACACCAATAAAAATTAAAACCCTACCATCATTTACTTGTGGTAAATCTATCTCAGGAGAATCACCGATCAAGGCAAGAACATTGTTCGCGGAACATTTGGATGATACAGTAGAAGTAGTCGTTGCAGGGGAAACCAATGCTGATAATAAAGAAACGAATGGATTAGAGATAAAAATGTCAAATATTAAATTTAAATCTCCTGGTAGCGCCGTTGGTATTTCTGAACACATATCAAAAGCAAAAATATTCGATAAACGATTGGATAATCAAGTGGAACCAGTAATTGCAAACAAAGTTAATAAAATCAACGAAGTAGAAAACATGCAAGAGGTAAAAATTCCAAGTATTGGATTTCAAACCGCTGGTGGAACATACATTAAAATCTCAGAACGAGCGTTATCCAGAGCAAAAGCGTTATTTGCGGATGAATTAGATTGCTCTTTAGAAATGGATATTGTTAAAAATAGTGATCGCGATGAAGAAAAGATTAAAAAACGCGACTTGGCAATTCCATATGGTGGATTGCAAACTGTAAGCAGTCAAGAGGTACCGGTTTCGAACAATGCTGCATTAACAACACGAGAATTATTCTCCAACGACTGCCTGGATGAAAGTAATCCTGACTTGGGGCGCGCATCGTTGCAAAAGCGCAAACTAAGCGAGACTAATGTAGACGGGAGCACACCGCAGGGCAGGAATTACACGTCCGAAACGAAAAGGACTCGTCTCAGCAGCGAATTTCAAGCAAGAAAATTGTTTTCCGATAATACGAGTACTAGGACGGATAACGACGAAAATCGAGATCCTGATAAAAAAAAGCAAACCTCTTCCGTTGTAGAGTCCATCTCGGAATTGCCTAAAACGGACTCGATAGAATCAACAGAATCGGAAACAGCGGGCAGTCCTATTATAGGAAGGCAGTCCAGTTTGAGGAAGCGAAAGAGTTTAGGATATCAAAGGGACGAATCTAATGCATCGCGAGCAGATAACAAGATGCTAGATAACGAGAATGCAGCGTTGCAAGAGAACGTTGTGCAAGGAAGCGCAACTTGTGGAAAGATTGAGGACGATAAATTAAATACGGAGGAATCAACGCAAGCCGCGCAGGAAAAAGCAAAAGGCAATAGCGCGGGATTGAGTGAGTACGGCGATACTCAAATGATGATGGATTTTATTGATCAATCAACGAAGGTTCTACAGGATCGCTTAGCAGCTGCGTTAGAACAGGAGGCGATAATCACCGCGAAAAGGAGACGAGCGCAATCGGAAGGATCAAAGCAATCGATGGGTCACCTGTACCGTTACAAGCAGATTAATTCTAACGCTCGTTTGTCGATGAGGCAGATTGGCGGTGGCGTGCCGCCCATGCCGTGTTCCTATCAGGAGCTTATCGATCGACGGATATCACCGAGAATCCTGGAGATCACCGCTGCGACCGCCGCGACGTACAAATTCTGTTGCTCCGACTTTTATGGGGACGACGTGGCACATAGAAATGTTCGCGGGATAGAAATGGAGGACGGTGTACGTTTAATCCTGGATGAGAATGGATACGCGGGAGTCTGGGAGTTCCTCCGCGCATTTCTTGCCAGTCCGGGTGTAGATCCGAATCTCGTTCCCGCACGCTGGGTCGAGAATCATTACCGATGGATCGTGTGGAAATTAGCGTCGATGGACCGAATGAAGTTCGGCTCAGTCAAGTTACCCAGGTATAATACAGGGTGGATCACTTGATGATTTTTAAAATGAAATAACGTCATGAAACATCAAATATAAGTAAATTATCCATATCAATTAGTGTGTGAATAATTATAAGGCGATAAGGTATAATTTGCAAACAATTGGAATACTTATCAACCAAGTTAATTGTAAACGTTTCGACTTTGAGTCCTCTTCAGTGCGGATGTCAAGTACAACCTACAATGAATATTTTTCTTTTAATTATGAAATATGAAACTTAAATATTAATTTCTTGTTATATAACAATAGAAAATAGAATACTATTTGAGTATATTTGAGTAATGAATGTATTTAGTAGACAAAAAATAGATCATTGAGCTTTCACTAACCCTTTAATGTGATTAGTTTTTACTTTTAATTTTTTTCTTCGCTGGATCTTAACAATAAGTATATAATTGTAATAAAGAATCATTGAAACTCACTGAACTTTTGTGTGAACGCAGTCATAGCATTCTGTTTCCTATTATTGTATAACAAGAAATGAATATTTAAGTTCTATTTCATTCTGAAAATCGTTCTAGTTATCCACCCTGTATAACGAAATCAGCACGCGAACCATCTCTAAGCTAAACTAAGCCACTTGGAACCGGCATAATATAACGAAATTGGTTTAGTAAAACAGTTTCTAAGTCGAGAGAGACGTCTAGATTACGAAAGGGATTACACAATTATTTTATACGGTTTTTATACGCTTCAGGGCATTAACACCTTCATACGTTATGGCACAATTAAAGTATCGGTACGATCGAGAGATCGACCGGTCTCAGCGACCGGCAATAAGACGCATTTTGGAAAAGGACAACGTTCCATCTAAAAGAATGACTTTATGCGTGTCATCTATAATAGAAGTAATATATATCACTCACATTGAATTTCATTGGCAAATTTTGACATGTGTTTCACGTATTTTAATTTACAGAATAATAACGTAAGTATGGAAATAGGGAAGAGTCCGCGCATAGGAGTGCCAAAATGGAAAATAGAATTAACTGATGGCTGGTACAGTACAAATGCCTGTATCGATATAGGCATGGTGAAGAACATATCAACTGGTAAAATAAGAGAGGGCACGAAATTGCTGTTGTCCGGCGCGGAATTACTCAACTGCGACCAAGGTTTCTATCCACTCGAGGTAGGCGTCGATTTTTATCGGAATTGGAAGCGAAAACCAACCAGTTAGTTGTTTGATTTCTCATCGTCTAGGCACCGGCTGACGTATGCTTGAAATTGCACACGAATTCAACCAGGCGCGCACGATGGGACACGAAATTAGGATACGCGCCGCGTTCGGGGCCGATACCCATCAAGTTACGTAACGTGTGTCCGAGCGGCGGTTTAATCGGCAAAATGACGATTGTCGTCGCTAGAGTGTATCCGATGTTATATCACGAGAAAACCGCATCCGGAGATTCGAGTAAGACACGTTTAAATCTAACTCGTCCCAGAGGGAGAGTTAGCGATCTAATTCTTATGTCTTACTTCCCATGACAGTTGTCAGAAACGCTAAAAGCGAAGAGAAAGCGCAAAATAAATACGAGCAGCAATGTTGGTCCAAGATAGAGTCGTTCTACGCTCAAGCGGAGGACTTTCAAGGAAAAGGACTTTCTGGCGAAACTGATGATATGGCGATCCAACTGAGCGAAGATTACGAAAACTTGTCTACGGAGGTATACGCGATTCGATCAATCTTATTTGTAAATTCCTTTTGAAACCGTCAATGTAGTCGTTATAAATAGGAATCCATCTCTAAGAAACGACATGATGAATTGCTGCAAGAGTTACGTCAGAAGGAGGAACGGTTCAAACAGAGGATGCAGTCAAAATTGCGCGAGAGCTTGCCGGGGCCGCGACAGGTTTCTCAGTTGCTCAAAGTTCGCGTGTGTGACGAAAATGCGAATGCTATTCTCTCAGTTTGGTCGCCTAGCGAGGAGGTTGTCGACGCTCTCAAAGAAGGCGCGTGTGTTTCGCTCTGCAACATCGTGGCTTCCGGAAAGAGGTAGTATTCTCGTAAAAAGGAGTAACTGTATTGCTGCGTGGATGTAATAGCGCATAATGCTGGATTTTACGAGCGTAATTGTTTAACAGGGGTACCGAATTGCAACTCACCGCGCGTCGGTCTGCAATTTTTAAACCGGGAAAGATGCGCGATGCGTCTTATCCCGCTAGAGTGTGCACATCGCTAAACGAAATAGCAAATTCCGAGTTCGTTCCACCTTATGGAGAGTTTGATACGGTCGGTTTTGTCTGTTCAGTCGGTCCTGCTCCTTACGTAAGTGTTATCATATTTTTTGAATAAGAAAATCTACGTGCTCTCGAAATTGTAAAAAAATATGAGAACGATGACTAATTAGAGTTTGAGCGCGATAATTAAAGCGCTAATTAATTTATGTAAAAATGTTGTTTATTCAAATTACTTGGTTGGACATTTCGATTTCGCTTTGAGTCATTTTCAGTAACAAATTATAAGATTAAACGTTCCCAGAGAAGGAGTAAGTAATCCTTCTATAGTTATATTCTTAATATGTAAAATTTTAATACTTTTATCCTTTAATTTATTGCTGAAGATAACTCAAAACTGAAACGTTCAATTGATTAAAGAACAATTTTACATAAATTAATTAAAGCTCCAATTATCTCGCTAAAATTCCCATTGGTCTCCTTTCTTATGTTTTAATATTTTATAAAATTTCTACGGTAATTAAAAAAATAACGGTTTGCAAAATATAAGAATGTTATAATAAAATAGATAATATATAGTTTGCAGAAATATCAAGCAATTAAGTAATAGAGATGTTTCGGAATTTTACTGATTTGATTCATCATTTTGTATCTACTAATTCTTAACATAATCTATATGGAAACATTGTAGGGTATGAGAGACTTTGATGCTGTACATTTGGCATATTGTAAAGCGGGTTCGAGTGAATCTTCATACCTTTCAATATTGTTTTGGCAAGGAATAGCCAGTTATGGTTATACAGAGATTCTTACTGTCGGATCTATCGTAGCTTGCAGCAATTTAGAATGGCGGAGGGCAACTTCATGGAATGTTCCAGCGGCGTATTGCACGGATAGAAGTATTTTTACGCGCAATCCTCGCCGAAATCATTTATACGAATCCTTCGAAAATCTGCGAAACCTGATCATGGTACGCTATATTATCTCCGTTTTTCATGTATTTTGTACAATTTATAATTTTAATATAATAATTTTCTACACTTTTAATTATATTTTTTTAAATAGACCTAATTTTTTTTATTGCAAAACGTGCTCCGTTAAGTTCTTCATCAATTCTTATTTTATTTTATTTTTATACAAATTTCTCAATTTAAACGTGTTAAATTTGACTTTCAAGGATCCAATTAAGTACACTGAAAGCTGTACTTTCGAGCTTAACGTGGAATTGCAAAAGAAATCGACGCCTATGCGCTACTCGGTGAGTAAAAATACTCCGATTAGAATGTACAGTTCGACGTCAAGCGCCAACAAAAAATTGGTCGACTATACGTCGCCGCTGGCGACGCCGAAATTGGGAGTGGACAACCGTTCGAGTTTTATCCCATCTAATCCCTCGATTAAGAAACGACTCGAGAAACTCCAACAATACGGCGAGCCGCCTCAACTATCTCCTATTATACTAAGAAACTCAAAGAGGATATCTTTGGATTTTCGACCTATCCTTCCCATTTCAGACGTAAACTCGACAAAGGAGACAACGAATGCTAATCAATCCGAGGAATTAAAATCCAGTACCTTGGAAAAGCATTCATAATTATTTTACATTATGTTTGTTCGTTATTATTAATTCTAATGATAAATGTCATAAAAGGTGTATATTTGTTAATAATTATTAAATGTTCATTAATAACAATAACTGTTTTATAATTATAATAAAGTAGTTCTATTACTTCTGCATTTTCCTATATTTTCGATCCGATTCTAATTCAACTAATCTCCTTTGATTTTATTATAAACATAATTAACGACGTGTTTGTTTTAGAATTTACAGCTGTTTATTGGAAATATCAAATTATGTAATATAATTATTATTGTGTTAAGAATCAGTAGAAGACACAAGAAATATTACCGCAGATAAATTTTTGTCCGAATTGCGGTTATCAAATACCAAGAAGGTTGCAATGTAATTGCGATACTCATAATCAGGAGAATCGTCTGCAATCCGCGAGCAATTTTTTTGGAAAAGAAGGCAAATATTTTATTCTGATATGTATATTATAGTAATTGAGATGCAGATAATTTTATTTATTATTTTTTAAAGACTAAATTACAAAATTCGACTTTTTAGCAGGTTTCACAACTTTGTAAAACATCAATAAAAAAGTCTTATGACAAAATATTGCTAGCTTCTACGAGATAAATATTGAATTCAATTATATTTGCAACGCAGGGCAAGCAAATTTTATTTATTATAATATGTATTTTTTTAAATTGTAAAATCCAAGTCTTTAACAGCTTTTGTGGCTTTATAAGAAATAAGCTAAAAAAATTACGACGAAATGTTTCTTTTACAAGAAAAATATACTTAATTTTTATTTAATTTTCACTGAATTCACGATTATGATTTATAATTTCTAAACTATTTTTGCAGAGAGAAAGCCGTTTGTAAATCCGCAAATATATCCAGGTGTCAGCCCAGCTGTTACCCCTCTGCAGCTGGTCATTTTCACTACATTTACATTTGCCTAAACATTACTGATTTAAAAAATTCTGAAAACTTCCTGGAGCAATTTATGAAAGTTGCATTTGACATAATTGTTATAAATATTTGATACAATTATTGTATCTGTAAAATTGAGCAAGAAATGAGAAAGAACTAAACGATTTTAAATTACACGACAAAAATTCCTTCTTGGCTACTTCACACGTACAATTTTCAATGCTTTACACTTTTAATACTCTCGCTTATTTTTCAATTTGAATCAAGTGTGTCTCGTGCCAATAAATGCCACGAGAGAAGACAACAGTTTTTCCCCTCTTCTTGTGAATAATACCCGGTATACCGAGCGCGGGGACCCTCTCGGACCGTCATGCGATTGGATCGCATGCGCTCGCAGCAGACAGAACCGACAGAGGCAGGAGAAACTAGAAAAGGACTGCGCGTGGAATTGGCGCTCAGTTTAACACGCGCCGGCGTAGCGTGCGTCTCGTTCGTAATTTTCCCTCCAATTGTTCGATCACCCGGTGGATGAATGGCGATTTAAAAGGCAACGCGCGACGCGTCGGGTGTTAGGGAGACAATTTATCATCGTGTTGTGTTTTGTTTTCTCTCCTCGACGCCAACAGCCAACGGCCGAGGGATCCGTGCGCTCGGCGATGATCCACGTCGCGAATGTCCGCGTGTAGAGCGGTGTTCCGCGGCTCTCAGCATCTGTCAGTGTTCTCGCGGTGAGTTTGATCGTAGGATTTCGTTTCCTGATTTCCTCCTTTGCATCATCGGTGCAGCGCGAGATGACGAGCGAGACTCCGAAGGTGGAGTTCGCTCTCGGCAGCGAGGTCTCGCCGGGTCGCTTTTTCAAGAGCGCGTTCGCGCGAAATTTCATCAGTAGCGGCCGCGACTGCAAGTCCCTGGATTACGAGCTGCTCGATAACGTCGAGAGGAACGAGGGTGACCGTAACAACAACGGACGGAACAACAATTTCTTCTCGCTTGTGAATTTCGCGGACGGCAAACCGGCGAACGGCGACGACGCGGCCGCCGCGGCGCGAACCACCACTCTCTGGGAGCAACCGAAGCCGAAGGAGGTGAATGCCTTTTGTTCTGTTTTGCAGTCTTTTCTTTCACAACGCGATTCTCTCTTAATATCGCGGTAACGGTAACTACGCACGTGAAATATCATCTACTCCCTGGAGATGATGTTGCGGTATCCTATTGTGTATATATATATATATATATATGAGGGTTATAAGAAATGATACTAAAGATACTATCGATACTAAAGATTCTGGAGCGCGTAAAAATAATTTCGCCCAAAGGAATGCTAGCCTGCACCGCATTGTATAGATGAATGCACAAAGATTATACGCATTTCCTTTCATCTGAAGATTCATCTTTTTATCTCTCTCGCTTTCTCTGTCTCTCTCTTTTTGTTCGGTTTAAAATTTTAATTCTTTTTAGAAAATGTATTCAATTAAACCTCAATTAATTATAAAATTAAAAAGCATTACATGATTTGTAGCTCTTTTTACGAATTTCTAACTCTAATTGGTATTCTAATTGGATCCAGCGAGTATTTTTTCAATTACATTGTGAAACATTGTTTATTAAAGAGTATTTTCATAGTTTTAAATAATTTTACATATTTATCTTATTTCTTAGATTTTGACTTTTATAAATGAAAAAATTGTTGAATTATAATAACAAACAAAGATACATTAATTTAAATACACTAAACTCATGAATATTAATTATCGTGTAAAAAAGTATGTAAAATTACATAAATAATGTGTATAAAAATTACATAATTTATAACGGAATATCAAATTGTAAAATTTGTACAAAAATTAATAATTTTAATTGTGTAAATATATCTTTATATTAGACAAAAAATTATATATAATGACAATAGTATATTTTATAGTTTCTATTTATATGTACAAATTTTTATTGTAATTCCATCTAATATAAATATATTCACACAATTGGAAATAAAAGTATTAATTTTTATAAAAAGGTACAATTTTATTAGCGAATTAATACATAAATATTTTTAAATTTAACTTTAAATGTAAATTTATTTCTATAATTTGTTTAATTACTATGTAATTTCACTTGTAAACTATAACTTTACATGTGTGTACATCTTTAATGGTGAATTCCAAAATTACTCATTATAATTGTTGTAATTTTACATTTAATTTTTTTACAGTAGGGAAATTTTAAAACAAGTTCCAATTAGAGTTAATTTTAATACAATACCATTTTAAACGCAATTTTTAACGATTAATTTAAAGAATAAGTCTCACACCCGCAATTTAATTAAATTGAAAAATTTGATGTACTTTGGATAAATTCATTCCAAATCGATTTTGCTTACGCTGTAATTTCGAGGTACGTTGAAAAAATACTCAATAACTATTTGTTTAAAAAGTTTTAAACAAATATTTGTTAATATTTATTGAACATATTTACTAAATACAAGCATATTTATTCGATGCAAAAACTATATTAATTTGATTTAACTCTTATTTTTTTAATTGAATGAATATTTATTTACTGCAAGTAAACATTCACTTAGTATTATTTAAAAAAATACGTATTAAAATTTAGTAATTTTTTTTTAATGTTTCTTATCTATTTCTCGTATGGATCAATCCTTCATAAAGAAGCTTCTACATGTTCCGGAATCATTAGACTTAATAACGCGCTTGAATTACGACGGGAGTAGCGATAGCAGCAGCGAGTGCGTGCGTTCCTACTTTACGACTATAATTACGAAATTCGTATAGCAAAGCGCAATGAAATCCTTCGAGCGTTAGACCGCGCTCACGCGTCTGAATTTTGCAATTCTCGATTTAAATACAATAAATGGGATTTCTGCCGGATAACGCCGGCCGCATATCTCCTATTGTGCCGGACCGATTAAATGTCGAAAGATGCAACACGCGGTATCCAGCCGAAGGGAGAGAGACGCGAGTTCGCGGTTACTCTCGTTGAAAATGCTCATTTAATGCGTTACATATAAAGCGGCGGCCGTCAAATAATTCGATACTTTCTATTCTTGACAGGCGGCACAGCCGGTTGCAGATGCGAATGAATTGGAGAAACTTCGAAAGGTGAGTTTATTTATGCCTCGTCGGCTGTATTATTGCACATTCATCCCCGGAGAGCATCTCCCCGCTCAAACATTCTCAGTTCGGACGTACGAACGTACCCCTTTATCTCATTCAGAATACGTTGTCAACTTAACACGGCTTATTTAGAATTCTGAAAGAGTACCACTTTACTTGTTTGTGAGTTTCGAAATGATTCAAAGATCGTGGTGCGATAACTGGAATGCCATAGAGATACTGTTAGCACAAAGGAATTAGAGCGCACTTTCTGTTTCGTAACTGAATCGATCATTTCGAAGAATTTTATGTTAATCCATAATCTTTGGAATCCAACAAAGAAGGTTGAATTTAATTTTTACTGAAAAAAGTCTAGTAGCTATATTTCGTTTAACGCAATATTTAGCAAATATAATACAGCTAAAACTATAAAGCATCCTCATAAATTGACGTAAATGTTCTATTTTATATTTAACGAATAATAAATGAAAAAATAGATTTATTGAAAAATATTATTTATTTCTGTGTCAGTTTCAGTATTTTGTTAGTTTTGTTTTCGATTTTACTGTCTTTTCTAAGAATATGCGATAAATTGAAGGTGTTTTTACTTATTGCCAAGGCTACATGTAATCGTTTAGTAATAATTAAAAAAGTGTGGTGGTGGTTGTGTGTGTGTGTGTGTGTGTGTGTGGTGTGTGTGTGAGATATTTAGAAAAGTAAAATTAGTATTTAATTGGTTTATATTAACTGAACATTTGATTGAAATTATTTCATCAAAGCTTTTAACTGTCATCTATAAAGATTTGGCTGAAAGATCTACAATTTTATTGGATACAGATTTGAAAATAATTTTGCTGGCTCGTCAAATTAATTTCGTTGGAACCTCAGATTGTCAAAATATCAAAATTCTTTGTAGCATTTTTTCGTTTCCAATATAATTATTTTGATGATTCAACAAAATTATTTTCAGATGTATCCAGCAAAATTTTAGTCAAAATCATTCTTTTCCTGTTGGTTTGATCTATTATTAGACTTTTTTTTAGTATTTTAAGTTAGATATAAAGATTGAGAAACGGAAAAAATCTTTTCACTATCTTTAATTTAAAGGATTAAAAATTCACGATTTCGAAGAAGGAGTTTCTGTTGCATTTTGACGACTTTGATATATATATTTGCGTTCTCAGAATCTCCGTTCTCCAATTCTTTTCGTTCAGTGACGCAATAGAAAAGGGCCAGGTGTTCTTTGACCATGGCGCATTTTACAGCTTGAAACGACAGAGCGTTCTTTCATGTTATGTACGAGCAACGCGATTATTTATTCCGAAAGTAGCAGACCACGTTTCCGCTTGTCTTTATTTCGTTGTTAAGCGTTCCCCGATTTGCCATCAGGCGGATGGTGACTAATCGTTCGAAACAACGTGAAGTTACATCCCATAATATACTGGGATTCCATAATATACTTTTTCATGCCTATTTCCTCTATTACTTCCTACCATCGCACGTTATTATATCACGGAGTGATGAATCTCATTGGAAATGTTGGAATAATTGCAACGACCCGAGTACCATTTGGTCACCGAATATTCACACAGTGAGTGGACCATCTATTCCGAGCCTACTGTGAACTCTAGATGTTCTAGAGTTAACTATGTAGCGTTGTATGAAATTCCGACCAATGAAATACAAGTAAATAAATCGTTCCTTGCTTTAAAAACGACACAACTAAAAAAAAAGAGATTTTCGAGTTATTACTGTGAATGAGAATTAAATAAATATTACTCTATCGCAATCATCAAAAGTGAATTTAGTTAATTTAATTTTATAAAAAATCGTCGCAATTCAAAAAGGATGGTTTAAAAAACGTCGTCACGAAGTTTTTTAAAGATTATAAAATAAAAATGACAAAAATGACATTTGATCATGTTAAAGTACGTATTCTTTTTATTAATATTATTAATAATTTTTTATTAATAATTTTTAATTTAGTTAATTAAATTTTGTGTCAGGTTGAAAAGTAGTTTTTCCCTTTTTTGGGAAACTTAAGTTTTTGAGTTGTGTCATTTTTTGAAGTAAAGGAGCGATATTATAATTATGATAAACACTGTATCTTTTTCTTTAAACAGTATAACTTAGTTACCGGTAGTAATCGGAGCCATTCGCTTAGACTACTCTAAGATCCTCAAATTAATCTGTGAAGTATTTGTTTCTTAAATATTTATAATTATTAATATATACATAAGCAGCAAGTCTCTCCATTTTCTACTTTATTACTAATTAATAATACTTTATTAATAATGCTTTGATTAAGGTATTTCCCTTCGAAACAAATCAATTTTGGAGACGAAAAATGGTAGGAATTAAGTTTAACACCTAATAACAAAAATAATAACAAGGAAATGACAGACATCTCGCGTGATCAAGTGAATGATCAAGTGTCACAGGTGTCGATAAAAACACGCTTACGCGTTCTATCATCTTATTTAAACAAGACAATTGTTTGGCTCTGTGCCAATGAATATCAGAAATATTGGGTTAAGCACGTGTTGATTTAGTCACTCGATTTTCCGCTCGCAAAAGTCCGCGCTATAAATGTCGCGGAAAGCATCGAAGTCGCGTCCGTTCCTGAAATATCCGTAGGTGGTTTGTCGCTCCCGACAGCCGTTCGCCACAAATCGAGTATATGTCGAGCGGAAGTCCGCTTCAGCCCCTCCCGTAATTATTATCAGTCGGAGGGACCCGCGTGGTAGGCCTTTGTGGTACCCATCCGAATGCACGTGCGTGTGTTTGTGCACCGTGGCACGTTTGTCCGACCACGCCAGTGACCGGAGCCGGGTTCGCGCGTGATGTCACCATCCTGCTTTTTCGATCTCACACCATGACACCGTGGTTGTTACAAGAAAATTATCATCCCCCTTCTCTGCGCCATCGCGATGACCTGCCGCGTGTGAAACGAAAGAGTCGTGTTAAACGACAATCCCTTTATTTGCAGGGAGCCTCCTTTGTTTGCGTAAGATAACCGTGGTCCTATCATGCGGCATGCAGCGTCAAAGAGCGAGATAAGTTGGTTTCTTGGAAACGTTAGTGCGAAAATTTACTGTGGAATATAAAATCGCAATTAAGCTTTATACAATGAAATATACACAATGAAAAGTACACATGGAAAGAATGATTTTGCTGAAGCATCTGAAAAATTGAGCTCCATGCGAAAAGAATGGGAGGGGGGGGAGGGGGGGTTTGTTTGTTTAAGTATCTAAGAATTTAACTTTATATACAGATTTGAAAATAATTTTGTTAAAAAAAAATATGTATAGTATTATGGCTCAATAAATTAAAAAACAATACAATTAAAAAAAGGCTATACGAGCCAAAAAAGTAGCCCTTCTTTTAATTGTATTGTTTTTTAATTTTGTTAGATCATCAAAATAATTATGTAGGACGCCCAAATTAGAATGTCAAAACTTTTCGCAGTGTTACTCATTATTCTTGAGCGTTCCACATAATTATTTTGATGGTTCAATGAAATTGTTTTCAGATCTATATTTAGTCAAATTTTTAAACACTTCAGCAAAGTCGTTCTTTCCGTAATAGGGAATAACATACACAGGCAATAAAATTTCAATCTATATATTCTCTAAATTCTTTGAAGTGGAATCTCACTTTAAAGAATGAAAATTGAGCCAATCTTCAAAAAATAGTGACTCAATTTTCAATTTTAAAAGATTTCACTCTTCAAAGTGAGATTCACTCTAAAAGTTTTAGGCCCAGTTTCACAACTCTCGGTTAACTCTTAACTGAGGTTCAACATATTTCTCATCTCTTTCCAATTCTAGAATTGGAAAGAGATAATGAATAAGTTGAACCTCGCGGTTAAAAGTTAACCATAAGTTAATTTAGAAATTGGACCTTAGAAACTGGGCCTTAGAGAATAGGAAACGTGTATTATTTTTCCCACAGGTTGAAATGTTATTGTCTTTGTTCCCTATTCCTGTTGTCTGTGCTTTTCATTGTATCGTAAGGCTTAAAGTGACGCGCGTCTTCACAGACGATTGGATTCCACCCCTGCACCGCACATCTTTGAAACTTTTATGACTGCAGACAACGCAATTAAACGGTCGCATGTCTAAGAACAAGTTATATTTGCCTACACTCGAGAAGTACGTTTGAGGATACTTCATTGCTGCTTCCACACCTTCGCACACCTGCGTATTGCATACATCATGGCGCGACACGCACCCGTGATTCCCTTCCTGATCCCTGCCAACGGTTTCGCACGTTTTACGAGTCACGCGGATAAGATACGATCGGCCAAGAAAGGTTCGTAAGGGCCGGAAGAGCCCTTCCTGTCGATTGCGAAATCGCGCGTCGCGGTAATCGGTTTGCAACAAAGGATAACAATGCAACTCTTTTGTAAAAAGAAAAAAAAGCTTCTCCCTCAAGATGCTTCTTTTCTCAAATTCACTCTTACCTTCACGGAAAGAACGATTTTTTGCTGAAGTGTCTAAAAAAGATAGATACATATCTGAAAATAATTTTATTGGATCAAAGGATCAATATAATTTTGATGGACTATCAAAATAATATTATAGAAAAGGCATGTGAAAAGCAATGCTGCAACAAATTTCGATATTCCAGCAATTAATTTGAGTGTTCTACGTAATTAATTTGAGAGTCCAACGAAATATTTTCAGATCTATATCTGTATTTGTTTAATACTTCAGTAAAACCGTGTCAAAATTCGAAATTTATCGCGATTGTTTTCTTCTCTTACAATTATTCCTTGTCACTTGAGACGCAAATTATATTCTTTCTCCAACTCATCTGTCACTCGAGTGAAAAAGGGCTCGGAATTTTTGGACAGGTTGACGATAATTCACAAACGAGAGGCCGATTAATTATCCGAGTAAATTGGAGCTGCGGCAGTAACGAAATGAATCCCGTTGCTCGCGTGAGAATTAATCGTGACTTCTCGTCTTGTAACCCGAAACGTTGTTGTCTACCCAATGCATTTACACAGCTAATAACAAGTAAATTGCACGCTCGTTCTCTCGCCTCGATGGCAATTTCAAGGCAATCGTTAACCTGCAATTCCTTTGATCAATTTTTTTTTCAATATATCCGTCTCGATGATTCCAGCTACATCGTCGCGATTATAA